GAAGCCTTCCAGAATATTAAGTCAGCAATTGCAGACGCCACCATGCTAGTCCACCTTGACGTCCATCTTCCCCTTAGCATCTCAGTCGATGCATCTAACACAGCCATTGGAGCTGTTCTACAGCAACTGGTACATACTTCATGGATACCAGTTGCCTTTTTCTCCCGGAAGTTGTCCGCCGCTGAAGCGAGGTATAGCACCTTTGGCAGAGAACTCCTCGCCATATACGCGGCTATCAAACATTTTCGCCACTTTGTCGAAGGTCGGAAATTCACAGTGTTTACCGATCACAAGCCACTGACGTATGCCCTCCACACTACTACAGATAGATATTCCCCACGCGAACTGCGTCACTTGGATTATATCTCTCAATTCACTTCGGATATTAGACATATTTCAGGGGTTGACAACGCTGTGGCAGACGCCTTGTCTAGGATATGTACCATGTCGGCGCCACCAACCATTGACCTGAAACAAATGGCGCAAGGTCAGCTTACAGAGTTAGATCTTGATAAGCTGTCGTCAAATACCTCCTTACATATCAAGCGTATACCGCTTGTTAATAGCGAGGGTACCATCCTCTGCGATCTGTCCACCGGTACCCCGAGACCCATCGTTCCACCTTCATTGCGCCGTACGGTATTTGATAGCCTCCACAACCTTTCCCACCCAGGTATCCGGGCAACGGACAAACTAGTGTCAGCTAGATTTGTCTGGCCTGGTATCAATCGCGACGTGCGTATCTGGGCACGTGCCTGTGTGCCGTGCCAACGAGCTAAAGTCCACAAACAACATCACTCCAGTGGGTTCCTTCTCCACACCCGATGCTCGCTTTAGCCACGTACATCTAGATATAGTGGGTCCTCTACCACCATCAAATGGCCACTGTTACTTGTTGACATGTGTCGACCGGTTCACTCGTTGGCCAGAAGCTATTCCCATCTCCGATACGACCGCGGAAACCATTTGCCGAGTGTTCATGGAACGCTGGGTAGCTCAATTCGGATGCCCATCTACGGTGACTACAGACCGTGGACAGCAGTTTGAATCAACCCACTTCAAGAAGCTCTTAGAGCTGCTGGGGTGCAAACGCATCCGAACAACCGCGTACCATCCAGCAGCAAATGGACTTGTAGAACGTTTTCACCGCCAACTGAAAGCTTCGTTAATGGCTACCGAGAATACTAAGTGGACTGAGTCTCTTCCCCTAGTGCTACTTAGTATCCGTTCCACGCTCAAAGCAGACTTACAGTGCACTTCCGCAGAGTTGGTGTTTGGTACCACCCTTCGTCTACCGGGTGAAATTATCTCACCTGGAAGTGGTGAGACAAGTGCTACGGATGTACAGTGTTATGCTCAGAACCTCAAGCGCCTTATGCAGCGCCTGCAACCAACTCCCACACGCACACAAAACAAAAGAGTGCAAGTAGATGCTAGACTCGATGACTGTACACACGTTTTTGTGCGTTGCGACGCCGTTCGTAGACCCTTACAACCTCCTTATGATGGACCATTCAAGGTCGTTAGTAGGAAAGAAAAATTTTTTGTTATTGATCGACTTGGCCGTCAAGACACCGTAAGTGTCGACAGACTTAAAGCGGCCTACATTGAAGAATCTGTAACCCTCACGCCTACACAACCAGCAACTACGCCCACACCCACACCCCAGCCAAGTGTTATCGTCCAAAATCCTACTAAGCCTAGCAGTTCTCTGGATGAGACAAGTAAAGCACCGGTTACACGCTCTGGCCGGCGTGTACACTGGCCTAAACGATACTGTGAGTTTGTTAACTAAACGCTTTTAATTACAAGAGTAACTCATACCTTCATGTCTTTTCTCACGTTACATTCATTTTTCATGATATTTACTCTTTTGGGTTTCGTTTGTGGGCAGTAGCCACTTTTTCATTTACTAATCCTGTTAGATTTCTTTCTCGTTACAGTGTTCTAGCATTTTATTTTTGGCGTTGCACTCTTTGGTTCAGAATGTTGAGACGACGTCTTAAACGTTCATAAGCATTTCGATATGCGTTGTTTGGTTCCGGTGTTAAGCGGATGGCGCGCGGAATGTTGTCCGTCGTGTTATATTGACGTGTCCACCTGTCACTATTTCTCAGAATATCTAAGAGTAACAATTAAGGAAATGGAACTTACCACAGGTTAGATATGAGTTTAAGAAAGCCTCAACGACATGAGCACATGGCAAACTGTATGCACAGTATGTCCAACATGTGCATTTCGCCCCATACTTGGCTGGCATGTTGGTCATCTGAGGGAAACACGTCACTGCTGTTACATCCCTGTTCCCCAGCAGTACGACCGCCTACAGACCCACAGCATAGTGTAAAAAAATTCTTACACATTGTCGGTAACTGCTTTAAGTCTAATCGCTATCCTGACAACCTTCCTGGCATAGTAGGACCTGCAGGAAACAATAGTTCCAGCCAGTGTAGCTTGTTGGGTCATTGTGATATGCAAGCCCGACTACGACGTCAAGGTAGCAACTATCGATCGGTGTGCTGCATTGATGGACGCTGCCAATCGGTATTTCTATTGTAAAAGTTGGTCAATATTATATCTGGCGAAGCTGTCGTCAGAAAACTAAATGCCGTATTAACCAGTAGCCAAATTCCAGCACAAAGTTAACCGCAAAGCTCTAGTTTCATGTTCGAAACCTTCTGTAGTCAACACTGTTCTCCCCCCCATCCTCACTAACTTTTTGTTTGAGTCAGTACACTTGGAATAGATGACTCAGTAGAAACAGCTTTCATATTTCTTTCAATGTCACTAATGTATTTTTATTGATTTTTACGTACTCAGTTTAAAAATATACCATTTCTAATTTACAATTCATATTCTGTCTATTGATCATGCTGGTGGTATATATGTATATATATATATATATATATATTGTTGTAACCTTCAAGAAATGTATATACAAATAAACAACATTCTGATGAATGACCATTACTGGAAACATGGTTTCACAAGCAATCCGAAGAAATCTGTTTCCTTTTATTGAGTGATTCATTCACGACTATGTAGGAAGACAAATTTCGTGAGATAATAATGATAGTAATTTGCTTTATTCCAAAACAGTACTTGTAATACAGAATGGAATTCTCAGCATTCTTTTACCACAGTATTGCATCCAGTTAGCACATTATCAATAAATAGAACTCTACATAGAGATGATATCTTCATTTCGTAGTTTCTTTACAACCACTTTACGACTAATATGGTTCACAATAATAATAAAGTAAAATGCATGACAATTACTCAGTTACATAAAACAAAAGTACATACTAATGACCAAACCAATCATATTTAAATAGGTCAAGTAGTGAGTTCATTGTAGGCGACAAGGTTGAAGTATATTGTTGTTGTTTTTTTTTGTGTACACATAGTTTAGGATGTATGTAATTAATCTCCAAAGTGCTTCCATCATCACCTTCAATAACCAACCTTAAGTTAGAGTTATGTGAAATAACTGTGAAGCAGTCATTAATAACATTGATTTTGTGACCTGAGATTAATAAGTGCTTTGCAATGGATGATGATGGATTTCTGTTCAGATTAATAAATGCATTGGGATTTTCTATGTGTTTTAATAACCATCGGTAACTAAAGTATGGTAGTCCCTAATCATATTTTCGCTATACCGATTTTTTTTTCATTTTGTCTATTCAATTTGTATACTCTTCCTTTATTACGTCAATTGTTATTATTATTGCTATTATCACTTTGAACTGTCCCCGGTATTATTTCACTTGTTCTATTTGTTATTCTTAATCAATTCTGTTTTGTAAGGTTAAATTCTATGTTATCAAATTTCACACAATATTACGTATCGCTTTTATTTTATTCAATTTAACTACTAATCCTATAATTGCACACCCCTTCCAAGTTCTATCCATCCTATGAATTATTCTACATATGACATTAATTGTTTCACTACCTGACATATAACTATGATTATAATGACAAATAATTCTAGTAGGAGGCCGTGGCCAGTAGGGTACAGCAGGTTGAAGGTGAGACAGCAACTCATTGAAGAAAACATTGCGAAATAGTTGCGCTATGTCGTGAATTGGCAGAAGTTAGAATTCATGGGCTGGCTATTGGACCGGATCGGGTCCCAGTGGCTGAATGGTCTACGAGCTCACTAGCCTTGTAAGCAGAAGGTCCTGGGTTCGAACCCCGGCGGGTGCGTACTGATGAAGAGTCCCAAACCAGGGCGAAACAGCTGTCCAGTACTTCCAGGTTCTCCGGTGGTTCTCTAACTGATGTCAGCTCATGATGAAATCCTCCATGCAAACAAATAATTTAATTGCATTTCATCCTACTGTTATTATTTTATGCATTCACACCTTTGATTCAATTCCCTCACCGGATATATCTTCTTAAAAACCATATATATACCATTGTACAGCTTGATAAGAATAAATCCGTTGAAAAGAGTCTCTTCGCTGAGTCACTTGTTTTGATTTTCTATATTGTCCATTTGTATAAATTTATAAGTTGAAGACTGAGTCAGTAAGTTGACGCTTAGAGGAACTGTAACTAAGCTCACTGTTTATAATCAACTATATGTACCTACCAAACAACAACACACTAGGACATGTGTTGCGCATGCCTAGCCATCGTCTTCCTCAACGGTACCATACTTGGCCCGTGTTCTAAGCGACAGAGACAATGTTAAGCGCGAAACCTATGACTTGCTTTGTTGTTAATAACATAATTTTAGGCTCTTTTATTTCTCTCTTATTTTGCATTCTATAGTGAACTCCTTCTTAAACATACTTAGCTACCTAAATTATTAACACTGGCTTACTTTTTGTACTTTACTGTATTCCTTCTTCTGTGTATCTACTGGTTCCAACTATATTAGCACTATGAATAGTACAAAATTGTCCTGTCATTAACCATCATGTAATTATTAGTTTTTGTGGTTGTTGTTGTTTTTTGTTCGGCAATATTAACTGACAATCATTGGTTGTGAATGCCATTGTCACCCTTAAAATTTTGTATTATGCAGGATTACTCACACTACCACTACAAACACTGCATTAGACCTGACAATAAAAAACAAAACAACAACCCTGAAATGTTATTTTATGATTGTTTAGAGTTGTTTCAACCAAATTAACTGACCATCTTGGCGATAAACATTCTTAAATGTCATTTCATAACTTCTTGTATGACTATAGCTAATAGCTACTAATAAACTCCAAAGCCTCAGGATGGTCGGGGGTGGGTGCCTTGCGCTGCGGGTTGGCCACCCCTCCGCACACCTCTTGAAATGCTCCCATATGACCGGGCGTCTTACATAGCCTCTCCTGAGGAAGTCCTACTCACCGCCTTCACGTGGCGGAGGTGTTTTTCACCAAAGTGAGAGGGCGAAAGCGGATGCCCGGCGCTCTTCACCGGGTTGAATGTCCATTGGATGACAGTCTAGGGGAGATGGCTAAACCCTGATTCCAAACCTCCAACGACTGGCGTATGAAGCTCACCGGCAGACGTATGGACAAAGGGCTTGTTGGATGTCCTGGATGTCTGGCCCCATTCAAAAGGGCGTATGAACCGAACTCCGGTCACCGGCTGCCAATGGATAGTGGACTCCCTACTCCACTCCTACTGCCTTGTAGGTCACACTTGGTTGTGTAAAGGCTAGAGCTGCACTCTTTAACAAAAGGCCGAGCGATTCTAGTGACATCACTCGTACCAAATTCCCATGAAACTTCATGAACTCTCTTACAAACGACTCTCACCATGCTACGGCGTTCCCGCAGATCGGCGCGCCTGGGCAGCGATGATTCGAGATGTTCATAAAGCCGGCTCATCCTCCCGTAGGAGATAGCCGAAGTAAAGAAGAAGAGTCACCATGCATAATTATATCATAGCTTCCATTACCCAATACTGAGATATTATTATATGCCATTTATTTTCCTTTCTACTTCTTGGTATTTTTTCGCAAACATTGTGGATATTTGCTGAAAATTCCACACTGTACCACTAGTACTGTTTCTGGAATAAAGCAAATTATTATTATTAAAAAAATGTTGGCTGCCGATGTAAGAGCAGGTTGGAAAAGACCTAGTGGTGGTTAAACCAAAAAATTGGTCTCATCAGTCGATGAAATCCATAACAGTTAGTGTAAGCTAGCCAGCCACTTAAAGAGGTGTAAAATACCAGTCTGGTTGGAGTCCTCAGGATGGTACGAACCAATAACAACTGGAGACTATTGGCAGTGATATGGCTCAAAATCCTTGTTGTTAATAGCTGGCACAGATGCATCCACACTTTGTGTGATTTGTCATATCCAATCGAACGCTATTGTTCTTTAGTATTATTATCTCTCTTTTGAACCGCTCTTCACTCTCTCTTCTCTTGCTTTGTATGGTACATGGAGGTAGTGTGGTAACTCAAACTGCTGCACACATGTGCAAGGGCCTATGTTGAGACCAGTCAGTCAGTCAGTCTCTAAACAACGATTACAATGAAACTCTACCATTGGAATTCTCGTCATGACACAAGACTACTGGTAAACAGGGTTTTATAACTCTCTTCAGTAATCCAGTTAGTGATCAGTTTACTTTTCATAATATAAGAAAATCATTTCACAGATGTCTTACCTAATTGAAGATTTCGCATCCATATTGAAGTCGGTGTTCCTTTAAACATTTTTTCAAGGTATACTCCAGCAAAACCACTAGTGACTGAAGCCAGTAAAATTGCTCCGAATCCATATAAGCTAGGCGAAGAAATACCATTTGACTTTGATGAATCATTCGTTGAAGGCAACTAAAATAAAAAATCATAGCACAACGAAATCGACTGGTAAAGTGCTTCACAGATTGTCGGTAGTGCTAGTGATAGAGTAGTCATTATGGAGTATTGATTGTCATGGCGTAGATGTCTACAATGTTTTGTTAAATTTTATAGGTATTGTTAAAATACGAGAATGTAAAAAAGAAGAAATTAGATTGCACTTGATAACCAATCGCAATCCCATGCAGTTGGGAATATGAGAGATACTTATATGGTGAAGACAAGTGACATTTTATGGCTGTCCATGCCTCGGCGAGCCCAAATAGCTCAGTAGTGTAACGTCTCTGACTGCAGGACTGGGTGACACAGGCTCGAATCTCAGAAGAGATATGTGGATACGCCTTGTTGACTGGTGAGGACCAACTAGCACGAAACCTAAGTTCAAGGCTTCTTGCTGATTACCTCCAACCATCTAAAATCAAGAGTCATTTGATAGGGTTCCAGTGAACTAACGGACTACGAGCTCACCTTGTAACCAGAAGGTCTTGGATTCGAACCCTGACCGCGGGTGCGTACTGCCAAAGATTCGCAAACTAGGACGAAACAGCTGTCCAGTACTCGCAGGTTTTCTAATACTCCTCTAACGGATATCGGTTGATGGTGAAATCCTGAATTAAAAGCAGTTAGTAACTGTGTGTTGGTGGTACAGCAGTAGAATACTCGCCAACCACGCAGTTGGTTCGAGGTTCGATCCCCGACCACCGACTCACTTCTTCACCTCGGTAAACCAGTAGTAAGACAGGTAAAGATGGAAGATGACAAAATCAACACGAATGTGACAAGTAATTTCATTATGTAAACACACACTGCTTTTATAATTTTGTACGCTCATCAAATGCACCAATCTACACCTGGTTTTGTTATCTTTACCAATTGGCCAATTTAACAATGCAAAAATGACCCTATACTGAGGAACGATGATTAGGTTGTTATATATAAGCTGAGTGTATATTGTAAATTCTGGTTTAATAATACCACTTTGATAAAGCTATTAGCAGCAGCATTAAATAAACTGAATATTACTTAGTATAATAACAAAATAAATAAATGAATCTCACCTGTGTTAACACAATGCCTGCACTCAGCAGTAGAAGAGAGAACCATTGAAGTGAACGCAAACGTTGATTCAACAGTATTATCATGAATACAGCAGTAGTGAAAATTTTACTCTGATAAAGTATCTGATATAAAACAGCATTTAATCGTGATATAGCAAAATACAACAGATTATTCTGGATAACATACAGTGTTGAAGGAATAAGAATTTGTACTGTATCCTTGTATTGAATAAAGATTTGAGTGTACATTAATGAAAGACCACGTAGAAGGTTACCTAAAAAAAAGGAAGAAGTAGGAAAATGAATAAGACGTGGTTACACAGTTCGCCTTCAAGTATTACATGGATTAGAAATATTCACTTGGTATGAGTCAACCAGGAGGTAGGCGGAAAGAAGCATCGTTTCAACTATAGGCGGACGGAACTGATGAGGATATCATCAAAGCAAGGATCATCGGGAAAGCAAGACAAGCTTTCATTTCTCTCAAGTCTGTGTGGAGATCAACACTCAGGATGATTATAATAAGATATAGTCCTTCTAGGCGAGGACGCTGACAAAATGCAGAGTCTACTGAACACCTTGAGCAACAATCTTCGTATGTTTGGCATGCGATTCGCCCCTGTAAAATGTAAGATGATGCTGCAGGATTGGACTTCATCGACCCCTAGATTAGAAATAGGAAGTGAAGTGGTAGAGCACGTTGACCGCTTCACTTACTTGGGAAGTACCATCAGCCCCAACGGGTTGATCTCTGACGAAATCTCAGCACGAATACAGAGGGCTAGTTTCGCATATGCCGGTTTACGCCAACTCTGGCGTAGACGCGATATCCGACTACCGACCAAAGGCCGGGTGTATTGCTCAACAGTCCGCCCCGTCCTCCTTTATGGCTGTGAGACCTGGCCATTGAGAGCAGAAGACTGTCCTCGATCATAGGTGTCTGCGTTCTATCTCCCGCGTGAAGTGGTATAATAAGGTGAGCAATATTGAGGTTGGGCGTCGAGTGCTAGGTAAGGCGGGGAAATCAGTCGACGAGACTGTGAAATTACATCGACTGAGACGGTTAGGACATGTGCTACGTATGCCTAGTCATCGCCTTCCTCGACGGGCAATGTTAGCTGATATAGGGCCAGGCTGGAAAAGAGCTAGCGGCAGTCAAACGAAAACATGGCACCAGTCAAAGAAATCTACAACAGTTAGTCTAAGCCACGTAGGGAGGTGTAGACTTCCTGGTTGGGGTCCTCGGGACGATAAAAACCAATGGTTGGAAACAATTGGTGACATGGCTCAAAACCGTCCTCGGTGATGGCGCAGATGCATCCACTCCTTGTGATTTATGATTTCCAATGAAACTGTTTTGTTCTTCGTTATTACTATTCCTTTGTCTCACACCTCTGTTTACTGTCTATATTATGCATTTCTCCTACTTTCTTCTCTTCCTTTGTGTGCTACATGGAGTGTGGCGACTTGAACTGCGGCACATATGTGCAAAGTTCTATGTCGAAAACCGACCAACCGATAATAAGATCCGGATTTCCAACTCCAATGTGAAGTCAATGCTACTATGCGGATCAGCGACTTGGTGCCGCGTCACGAAGGGCACTTCGAACAAACTACAGACTTTCATCAACAGCTGTCTTCACTCGAGATCAGATGGCCAGCCAGAAAAGATCAGCAACACGATGGGATCTCTGGCACTGAGCGAACCAACCCAGCAGGAACCAAATGTGCAACAAATATGGAGGAGGAAATGGAGGTAGATTGGCCATACTCTGAGAAAAGAAACAATAAGGTGACATCACACGACAGGCTCTCTCTCTCAAGTGGAACCCGAAAGGGAAGCGGCGAGTTGGTCGTTAGTGCGAGGGTGACATGGGGGAGGAGGTCATGTGAAGAGGAGATGAAAGCATGTGGACAGACGTTGGTTGGTTCTGTTCTAATAAATGCACCTGTTCTCTTGCGGGTCAGGGCATAATTGCCCGTATTAGCTCTAGAATTACTACATTTATCCATGTAGTATATATGATCTAAGGAACCATAGCTGATTTGATCAGCTATTCGCGGTTTCACCGTTTTAAGGTATGCAATTAGACATGCATGGCTTAATCTCTGAGACAAGCATATGACTACTGGCAGGATCAACCAGTTTATTCACGCAATGATACACCCATTGACTGGGTATTAGTTTTCAGGAGAACCGAACACACCCATCCCTGCCTCTTGCGAGGTGAGACCGGCATGCAGGATTATCCTGTGGCGCAACCACTCGAGAGCGTTCTCCCTCGATGGACCATTCGCACCGTTAGCATACATAATAATGCATAGGTAAGCATTGTTACGCCGATCATTGATCGCGTGAACCAATTATGCACTGAATAGACAAGCCCAATAGAACTCATCTCGCATACAAGACCAGCCAAACGTATTATTAAATGCAAAAGTAGCACGCATAGCCACGCTGTAGTGACGATAGGCCCCTATAAACGAAGCCAGCAGCCACCAAATTCAGTGAAATCGTTATCCCTGCCAACCAATTTAGCATGCAAATAGCTTCTATACATCTGCCAAGATTATAGAAAAACATACACAGTCATATAAGCTAGCCATGAGAACCGTTTAACTCACGCTCATATCGTCTATATAGCTTATGCTGTGTTTACTATAGGATTTATGGCTAATAGGTAAGAGAGCCTAGCTGGACGCTATTAGGCCATGTGGGCAGACGTGGAGCCAGGTGGAAACGTTGGCAGAGAACCGAACGCAATGGAGACGTGTGGCTGAAGCCCTATTTTCTTCTAGGAACTAAAGGAAACAATAATAATAATAACCAGGTAGGAAGATGTACACTAGTGCCTAGTTAAGGACCCTTAGGATGCTAGTAGAGACAATGACTGGAGAGTAACTATGATATTTTCAAGTATTGGTTTTGTAGGGATTTTGTCTGATTGCATGGAGGATTTCATCATGAGCTGACATCAGTTAGAGAACCACTGGAAAACCTGAGAGTCCTGGACAGCTGCTTCGTCCTAGTTTAGGACTCTCCAGCAGTACACACCCACCAGGATTCGAACCCAGGGCCTTCTGGTTACAAGGCGAGCCAGCTCGTAGACCATTGAGCCACTGGGACTCGATATGGTTCAAAAGTGTTCTCAACAGGTCAAGTGAACATCCACTCTTTGTAATCTACTATATCCGTTAAACCATTTATATATATATATATATATATATATATATATATATATATATATATATGGTGTTTTATAGGTCCTAATGACCTTAAAATTATAAGACTTCTAAAAAAATTAATTAATCTGTATTTCGCATTGCTTCGGCATATGAATATTTGGAAACTGTACATCTAGTAATCGATATTATATATATATATATATATATATATATATATGCATACATATATATACATATATATAGTAGTGGTCTCATATAGCCTTGACCTATTTATTTTGTTGTGAATTTTCGTTTACAAATGACCTGAATGTTCTAGTGAATTATTGCTATAGGTGACAAGGAGCATCGTTTAGCGAAGCCTCTGAATTATAGAAACTGTGGGTGGTGTTTTTTAGAATTCCGTTTATGACAATATGGTGATGTTGACATTTCAGATCAGGTTTGTCGTGAAACAGTGTGTGTATGTGTGTAAGCAGTCTCACTACTGGTCTTGAAAAGATTTCTAAATTAGCACTTTGCATCGAAATCTCTTCAGTAACATTGGTTGACAAGTATCATGCCTTGTTTAAGTACATAAGTACATAGTTAAGAACTGATATTAACCGCAGAAGCA